AGAGAGAGAGAGAGAGAGAGAGAGAGAGAGAGAGAGAGAGAGAGAGAGAGAGAGAGAGAGAGAGAGAGAGAGAGAGAGAGACGATGGTGGTGATGGAAGACGAATCAGAACAATTGAAAATCAGGGACAGAGCTAGAAATCATAGCAAATGCACAACATAATGCAGCTGGTATCCTCGAGAGTAACAAGGGAACCCTCACCCATGCCCATTTCCAGAAGGGAAGGACATTAGGACAGGAGTCATCAAACAACTGAGTGGGCACTGTGAATAGAAGACGGCTTCACCACCACAACGACGCAGGAAGGACCATTTCCAGCACAGGCTAGGATGACTAAGAAAGAGACTGAGGCTAGAAAATGGATGGACAACAAAAGGACATCATGACCTGGGCAACACAGTGAGCGAACCAGATGACCTGGCAGTCTAAATACACATTACTGTTTCAGAAAAACCAGTATTGCTGACAAAACTACAAGACAGGTTAGTTAGACGATGCTGGGTGGATCTCCCACCCAATAACACACAGCACGAGGCCACCGTGTCCGAATACAATCAACAAGAGGGGCCTGACCTGCTGTCCCCTTCTCCTCCAGACTATCTTCTCCTTCCTCAGCACTGGCCCCAGTCCTCTCCTTGCTCGTTGCCCCCCCACTATCCGTGTCACCGCTTTTCCCCCCCTCTCCGACTCCAGAAGCAGCAGCTGCTTCCAGCTCTTCTGCCATCGCACTTTCACAGGTCCACTTAGGAGGCACCACAACATGCAGCCGAGTCAGCCGAGGTTTTTGCACTACTGCTGCTGCTCCCCAGGCTGCATCTGCCCCACCTTGGCTAGCACCCCCTTCCCTCCCGCCAGCAACCGGCACATTGACAGGTGTTCCATTAACACTCTTTGCAATGCCATTGAAATGGAATAGCGTGAACCGCCTCTTCTCCGTCGTTCCCCCCACACCCGTCCCTGCGAATCCACCTTTCGACTTTGGCAGTAAGCAAAGTGCCTTCCAGAAGTCCTGCCACACTATGATCCCTCCACCTGCAAGTGAAGCACGCATGTTGTCCGGCATTGCCACGTTTGCCGCCTGCAGTACCTGATTGAGCACTTCCGAGCCTATGAATCCGCCGCCTCCGCTCACATCTAATGAGTCAAACGCTCGCCGCACACGCGCTTCCCTGTCCTCCGCTTCACTTTCCTCTTGCACACTTGTGGACAGTGCAAAGAGAACTGTGTAATGCGATTCACTGCCAAGCACCCATACAGGCCACTGTGGACGCTTTAGATTCTGTCCGACCTTGCATAGATTCAGCGACTCCAGGAGGGTTAAAAACCCAACCTGCACATCGCTGGGCACACCATTGAGACAGATCCCACCACCCATGTTGATAGACCCATCAAAGACATTGGCAACGGCATGCCCGCAGAGGAGCAGATTGACAACCTCTTGAGAGGCATGGCCAAAAGGAGGTGTAATCAGAGGGTGGTCGGGGTCGTCACGATCCGCTTGCACACCATCAAGGCCCCGAGAAAGCAGCGCTGAGAAAAGGACAAGAAGCGCCCCATAACCACTTCGCAGGGCACTTAGCCGATCTAACAAGAAACGGTGAAGCTCTTCCACCGAGCGGCAGTACCGGACACGCACTGTCTCGTGCAATACCTCAGCTGACTTGAGCGGCAGTATATCTTTCCCTGGGCCACTGGCATCGTCCACTTGCATATCTGCTTCCTCCAGCCCAGGTCTCAGAAACGCCACCACCGCCCTCCTTCCTTGGCCCGCCTGCAAGACGGCTTCGCCAATGGCTCGCACCAATGCCCTGTTGCGCTCCACCTCACTGAACTGCAGTTGCTCGTCTACGTCCATACCCGCTTGCGCCGTTGCTTGATGCGCCCTAGAGTCGCCAGCCCCCACCCAGTCAATATCATAGTCCTCCTCATCCTCTTTGACAAAGATCAGGTACTTGAGAACAAGCGCCTGAATGGGTGCCAATACACCACATGGGCCGCCTTCCAGTTGGACAAGACCCATGGAGGTTTCTGGATCTGTGCTGAAGTTGAAACCTTGCCGGCACCATTGAGTCAAGACCTCCGGTGATGTCTGTGTTCCAAAAACAATTCGATATAACTTCTTCGCGGCTACCACGGACAACTGCCCCTCCATTAGGTCGGCGGCTCCTGCTCCTCCAGCTCCCCCTGAGCCTCCCGATTGTCCGGCACCTCGTCCACCACTGGTGGCCCGGCCAGAATTGTTCTGCCCACCTTGCGCAGCGCCTGGTCTTTGCATTTCGGCGGCACCTCTACCTCCCGGTGTTCCTTGAGACTTGGCTGGTGATGTAACTGACTGTGCATAAGGCACTGCTGCGTCTGCAGCAACACGTCTCTCAGGTGACGCACTCACAGCGTCAACCACTACACACGGATTCCCTGGCGTTTCTCTCACTGCTGCAGGGGATAGTGCTGATCCTTGAGCCGCGCCAGACGGTGCTGAAGTTAGTGCAGACGACGCCGGTGAAGTCGTGTATTCCGAGGAGGGTGAAACATCAACTTCGCATGTGCTCGACACTGCTGGGACTCCGGACCTCCGCCTCTCTGCTGCTGCTGCTCGGAGCTCTCTCTGCAATCTCTTCTGCTTGTCCTCCTCGGTCTCAGCCGCCATAAGGTCACAGTTACGGCCACGGCTACTGTCTGTGCCCCGAGCCAGGCCCCAGACAAGCCCTTCTACCGATCCACTCTCCTCGCCAGTTGGTTTTCGTTCTGCGCTGAACTTAGGGGAGGTACCACTAGCTTTGGACCTTTTCGGCTCAGGTCCTAGTTGATCATCACATCCAGACATCGCGGATGTGTTCTGTACTTGACACCCGGGCAACTGCTATCCAATCCCCGGTCAGCCGCCGTGCAGCCCACCGTGAATCACATTGCACAAAGCCAGTGGTGAAGCGACCAGCGCCATCCATCCTTACTTACAATCTTCTGCCACATTCAAGATAGGCAGTCATTGTTCTATACCATCTCACCACTGCCGAATTGTCCGTCCCTAACTCCTGGGAGGCGGATTCCTCTCAGAGTGAGTTCGAAAGGGTTCTCAGAACACAGAGGTGGAAATATACATATATATATATATAGGCTTCTCCTAAACGGCAAAAAGTCCAACTGCCTTGACTTTCAATCTATGAAAAGTCTTCCATCAAGAAATGGTGGTTAGCTTTGACTGCCATGCAGAGGGGGCCTGGTGAGAAGATAGCACAGGCATTCACTGGACAGAGGAGGCATCTAGAACCTGCAACCCGGGGAAACCACCGCAGTGAAACAACTTCAAATTCTCTCACGGAAGGGCAAAAGCCTCTCCTCCATTAAAATGAGACCTCAGGGAGAGCATGGGCCAAGTGACTCACTCCCTTCCCTCAAGCTGATGACCAGGTGCAATGTGGCTCATCAGCAAATCCACATGAACTCCAGGAAGCCCACCACATGTTGCCAAGAACTTCGGCTCCTTTCAACTCATCGTTGTGCTCCTGACGGGCATTTCATAAAGAGTCGCGTGACGGATGGACAATGGCTAAAACAACTGGTGAAACAAACAACGACAAGAACAGCACAACAATGGGCTGCCACCAAGAACGGCAATTAGTAAACCACCATGACAACCATAACAACAGCGATGAACGCAACAATGCCACCAACGAAAGCGGAGACAACGATCACAACAGCAACAGTCAGAGCATCAGCAGCACTAATGGCAACAGACATCGAGAGGAAGCGACAAAGGGAAGGCGAGCACGGGAGGAAGGCAGGGAAGGGGTGCAGGGAGGAAGGGAAGAAAGGAGGAAGCAAGGGATGGAGGTAGGGACAGGGAAGGAAGGACAGCAAGGGGAGAAGGAAACAGCAAGAGGGAGAGAGAAGGAGACGAGGGAGAGGGGGAGAGGCGTGACGAGGGGAGGAAGGGCAGCGAGCAGGGAAAGGAGAACGGGAAGTGGGGAGGGCAAGGAGGGCGAGACGCAAGGAGGGAGAGGGGAGGGAGTGAGGGAGGAACAGGAGGAGACAGCGGAGGGAATGTAGGGAGGAGAATGGCAAGGGAGGGAGGGAGGGAAGGAGGGAAGGAGGGACGAAAGGAGGTGCAAAAGGCAAAGAAAGATAGGTGGGAGGGAGGAAGGAAAGGGGGGACAAAAAGAACGGAGGAAAGAACAATGTGAGGAAGAAGAGAAGCCCGGAAGTCAGGGATGGGTAAACGGAAGAACAGGAGGAGAGGCAGATACAGGACGCATAAGCAGGTATGGAAGGAGGGAGGGAGACAGGAGACAGGAAAGCAGTTAAGGGACAAGGGGAGGTAGGGGAGAATGGAAAAAAGGTGGGAGGAGGAGGAGAGAGACGAAGGGGAAGAAGACTGAGAATGGATAAACAACAGTACAACAGGAAGACACAATCACAACCACAGCAATAGCAGCACATTCTGCAGAGACAACACTACAAAAAGTACTCCAAAAGCCATAACAATCCCAATAACCCACGACACCGACAAGCGCGAGGAACACCAGCAAGCAACAACAACTCCAAAAGAACAGCAAAAAACAAGTCAACGACAAAAAACGAGCTTCGGTAAATACATTGAGCACTTCGTTGCACTCATCAGCAAAATTTTGAAACTCCCATTTCGACTCTTCAAAGAATATTCGCCTATACAACATGCTTTCAATTTTGTTGTCAATAAAGGAAAAAACACAGAATATTCGCCTATACAACATGCATTCAATTTTGTTGCTGATAAAGGAAAAAACACAGGTCAGATTTAGCGAATTGGGGAACAGACATTACACACTTCATTAACTGTGCGCAGCCATCTCACATCCAATGGCCTTCACAGATCAACAATGTAGCTGTACGCCTTTTGAGACAAGCTCCTGGTCGATCCGGTTCACTTCTAGACCACCAGACTGTTCCTGGACCATTACCCCCAGTGTTGTCCCGTGGGGATCCCCAGGGGCCAAGCCGGGGTTGAGGTTTGACATCCCCGCACTCCCGCGAGGGAGTTGACGACCCCCGCACCCCACCACCCCTGGGGGTGTGTACCTTACCTTTTTTTTTTTTTTTTTTTTTTGGGGTGATCACAACTGTCTATATTCTTCTCTCAACTTCTGTTTGTTTACCTTCCACTACCTACTCCTAAGACTATCTAGAGGGGACCCCTGCAAGCATAGTTTTCCTCTCTCTGTGAAGGGGAGATTTCATGCTGCCCCTTGCCCCTAATGGTTAGGGTACAGGGTTGGGGCCGCCAGTGGGGGTCTGGCTAACACAAAGACCGAGACCTGCCAGTAGCTGTGCCTCCCTTTCTCATCGTCCCCCAATCTTCATCGAGTAGCAGCAGAGGCTATGGCCAACACTCTCCCACACACCACACACAACCCACTCGCGCTCACACTCACACCCGTGTTGAACATAGACCCCGCTAATACCGATCAGGGGTATCCAGAGGACTATCACAGTCCGTTGGTGCTAATAAGAATGAGCAGTCCAGAAATTGTGCCAGCAGTTCCAGTCAGGGGCTGCATTTTTAGTGTTGTTTTGTCTTGTTTGTTTTTGTTTTTTGGGCGGAACAACGTTTTCTTTCCTCTCTGAAATTTCCCCCTTTTTTTCCTGCCAAAAACGGGTCCCGCATCCCTTACATATAAGCCGCGGCCATACCGGGATGGGAAAACCACTCCCGACCAATCCCATCCCCGAGTGCACCCAACAAATCAATCAAAGGTTGCACAAACCCTAACTGCTACTAACCAGCGATTGAAAAGCAAGCACAATTTAGAGAAAATTCGCATCCGGAGCTGCTCAACTCAGTAAACAAGAGCCCCCCGAGTACGGTTCCACTGCCACTCCTCGGGGGGTCAAAGGGGAGCTCGGCCACTTGGCTGGTATGCGATCCATACATCTTTATCCCACAGCACGCAGACCCTGTGCAGATCTGCACTCCTCCACAATCTCATCACCTCTGGGGTGTACCGATTGAGCACATTATCCTTGCTTATGTGGAAGAGGTTAACCAGTGTTTCGTCCGCGCGTGCCTCCACCACATTTCCTACACTTTCCGAGTCACCCGGGGCAACTACCCAGTCTCCTTCTGCAAGCCACGGCCCTTTGCGCAGGATGCGCATGCAGTCTAAGGGGATAGCAAAAATCAACAATTCAATGTTCTCTTCAACATTGTGACAGTGCTTTAGTATGGCCCTCAGTTGCGGCACTGTTTTCCAGTCCCCCTTCCATGAGTCACATATGTCCTTTATTCTGATTATGCCTTTTTTGACCCAGCTGCTCCAAGGGGTGTCTGAGCTGCAATACACCTTGCCGCACCGGTCTATAACGCTCTTGTTCCCAAATTACCCTGTGTTCTAATTAGTATCCCCTAATCACTCCACAACCTCCTCCGGTTCTGTAGATTATGAGGTTCTAAATCGCCAATTAAGAGCCAAATTTAATTTACAATTCCTTAATCGCCGAATCTTAATCACTGTAACTAAGCGAACCCAGCACACAAAAATTCACCCAGTCATATTACTAATTACATAACAAAAATAACATCAAAATCGTGTGAAGCTGAACGTTGCAATCCAAACCCTTCCCGCCGATGAGCGGAACACCGGCGACATGACCAAATCAGGGTCACCAACCTGTGAGCTCATGTGCAATTCCAATCGAATAAAAAATGCGGGCAGAAACATCTCATCCAGCAGCTCCAACGCACCAATAGCAAGGGAGGAGCATAATCAGTCGATCCATCGTTCCAACCACAGGCACAACGGCCCAAATGTGGATGCTAAACGCCACACCCTTCCATTCCGCCGTCAATCAGGGACAAGCGAGATTGAAATCCTCTTCCAACACTCGGGTTCCGTATCTGAAACCAAGGGACAGTTTGTTACCCCCTAAGTCCCAGTTCTTGGAGTGCACATTGTGCAAAATAACCGTCCGATACATTCAGGGAAATCTCTCAGCTCTTAGGACATGTTTACACACCCCCTGGGTGCTCAGTCCTGGCAGCATTTCACGGCACTCAGGAAAAACAAAAATAAAGAAAACACTTGTCTCACTCATTAAGGGATCAGTGTCACTGGGTCTCGCCACACAACATAGCAAACGATAAAAAAAAGGAATGTATTTGCCAACACAGATGGCAAGATAAAGTCGCTACGATAAAAGAACAAATGTATCTTCCCACCGTGACAGAGATGGCAAGATACAGTCGCTATCGTCTTCACCCGAATACCGAGTAACGGGTTCAACAGGGCGGCTGGAATTAGACGGCTGTTGAAAGCCGTTTAATTCCCCCATACCCTCGTTGAAATCCCGTTGAATAAAAAACGGGGGCCCTCCCGCCGTTTGTTTTTCAACAGACAGGGTCCGCAGGGGCTTGGGTGCATGGCCCAGCACCCCCTTGCGATTAAACTAAAAAACAACAAAAACGTTTTGTTGTGCCTGTCCGGCCAGGACGCTCTGCCATCGGACCCCCCCTGACTGTCCGGCCAGG